GTTCATATTCATTTATCTATCATTCTATCATATCATCTATCTATCTATATATATTATATCATTTATATGAATGAATATATATATAGTTTTATATATATATATTTATATATATAATTCATCTTTGTGATAGATAAATATATGTAAATATAAATATAAAAGTGAACATTGAAGTCAACATTCAGAGGCGACAGGCTGTTTCATGCTAGACGCAATCGTCAGGCCATATATATAGTATCTATTCTACAACTATTTTAAAATACAAATATATATGTATATATATATATATATATATAACAATATATATATATATTGTATAATTTATTTAATGAGAATAGATTTTAATAAAAAAGATATTTAAAAATTATTTATCCACCTTTTTAAACTCTATTTAACGTGGAATGAAAGAAATATGGTCATAACATATATATTTATTTAATTTATATAAGATAAGAAATAAATATATTCATTTTATATATATATATAAATATAATTGAAAAATCTATTAATTTCTAATTTTTCAATATTAGGAAAAACAAAAAAAAAAAATGAAAAAATTAATGGCTTTTAATATCTTTTGTGAGTTAATATTTAAATATCATTATTATATGAATGAATATAAATTTGAAAAAAGATTTGACAGAAAATTGGCTGAATGTGAATAAAAAAAATTGCAAAAAATTAAAAATTTAAAAAGAAAAAGAAAAAAAATTAAAAAAAAAATAAATAAGATAAAAATAAAAAATTTGACTTAAATAAAAAAAAAAAAAAAAGGAAATGAAAAATTCAATCAAATATGAAACAAAGGAGAAAGAAAAACAAAAAAAAGAAAGAAATTATAAAAAATTTCAAATTAAAATGAAAAAAAAATAAAAAAATATTGTTTTTGCATGATAAAAAGAAAGAATTAATATGTCAATGAATGGGAAGAAACAAACCATGAAAAAATTTATAAAAAATGGAAACTGAATAGATCAAAAAAATTAATGGAAAAAAAAAAAAAAAGAAAAAATGCCAGAAAATAGAAAAAAAAGTCAAAAATTATCATAAAATGGCATTGTTTTCATCTAAAAACAAAATTGGTGTTTTTCTTTTGATAAATATGAATGAATGTTTTTTTTTTTTTAAGTTATTCATATGATTTAAAAGAAAAAAAATTAGAAAAATTTTACTGAAAAGTAATAAAAAATAATACAAAAAAAAAATTTAAAATTGTTTAAAGAAAAAAAAAAAAGAAAAAAATTCAATAAATATATAAAGAATAAATGAAATATATATTGGGGGAAAAAGAACTTTTCGAATAAGGAAGAAATTAAATGAAACCTAAATGTGAGAAGAAAAGAAAAAAAAAAAAATGAAAAATGATTGTAAAAGGAAAATAAATATGAGGAAAGATGAAATCGATAGTTATAAGATTTTAAAATTTACAGGAACGAAAAAAAAAAGACATAACGAAAGTTTAGCAACAAAAAAAAAAAAAAAAAAATTTAAAAAGAGATTTAACAAAAAAACAGGTTGGGTTTCTCTGATGCTGAAAAATAAGAAAAAGATAAATAAATGACATAACAGAAGAAAATCCTGAATAAAGACGAAAAAATAAATGAATGAAAAAATATAAGAAAAATAAGTTTTTTATGGCTTAACAGGCATCGAAAAAAGTATAATTAAATAAAAAAATTAACGTTTGAAAAAAATAAATATTTAAAATAATATTTTTTTTTTTACCGAACTCGATAATAACATGATTAAATGAAATAAAGGAATTTTGAAGGGCCTTTCAATAGAAATGAAAAGGATACGACGAAAATGATTGTCTTATTTTAAAAAATGTGAACATACATTATTTGATTTTTCATTTTAATCAATTTAGGAAAATTTAAAAATGCTGAGAAAAAAAGAATGATATTTTAATGAGCAACAAAAAAACAATAACAAAAACATCAACAACAAAATGAGAACAAAAAATGAAGGATTTCTGAGGAAAGAAACAAAAGTTTAAAAAGAAGAACAGACTGAAAAAAAAAAAAAAAAAACAATGATAACTCACTAGTCTTTTGGAAACATAAATAAATGAATGGATTGCGAAAGGAAATGGGGATGAAAAAAAAACAAAAAAAAAAATAGGTAAACGTAATAAAAAAAAAGGAAATTAAAGAGAAATATGATAATATGAATGAAAATCTTGAAAAAAAAACATATAGAAAAAAAAGAAAAAAAAAAAAAATTGTTCAAAAGATCAATATTAGTGATAAACTGCTCTTGGGTGGTTTGATACACATCTATTTATCATCTTTATATATAATAAAAATATGTCTTTGACAGATTTCTTTGGATCATTATATTTATATTGTTTCGTGACAATGATAGTTCGACTTCTAAATATATTTTCTTCAATTTTGGTCCTTATATGGAGAATGTTATTACCACATAGCTATTTCATTGCACCTGAGGGATCAGTGCTTTTCCGATCTAAGGGTTGTTTTCATGCCGGGGCTGCCATCTTTTTATTCAAATTGATCATTTATCGCTCTGTCCCACATTATAAATCCCACTATATATCATATATATATAAATATCATAGACAGATTAAATATGGTTAGAAGATCATTTGCAGACAAAAGGGTAATGCCCCCAGCACATCCCTATTGAAACACACACACAACAGTTAATTTTCTTTCCGGACATCAATATTTAAAGCAAAATTGTAGTTTTATATTCAATGGTTACAAATGATGATTGTTCTCATTAATGATAAATTCATGTTTTTGTTTTAAATATCCGACATTTCGACAAAAGAATATTTGTTAAGAAAGGTAAAATGTCATATATAATATATCAAATTTATACTGTTCTCTAATATTTTGTAGAATCATGCCCTTTCTATACATTTTCAATGTTTAGTAAATTACTTTATCTCTTAATTAAAGTAAATTTTATCGATTCGAGGGTTCTGGTAAATATTCATTGCAGGAAATGACAAAATATATATATAGTGTGTTGTTTTGTAAAATATTAAATAGGGTTCATATAATCTTTTATTTAAATTCCTCAAAAGAATTTTCCGTGGCAATACAGGCTATCGAATAGTAATTTCTGCTTCAGAATTTAGGTTGTTGTTACTTTGTTGATTTTAATTAAGTCTCTTATGAATAGAAGTATTTATAACAAGTTTAAATAAATTATTTTCAAAAATTAAAAAATTGAGTTGGTAGAAAGAATTTTTTCGAATATTTTTAAGTTCGATTGTCTCATTCATTTTAAGCATTTTGACAAAATTCATCCATATTAAATAAAAAAAATAATTAGGATATTGAAGAGCTTTAAAATTTTAATGTATTTTCCATAATAATGTATAAATTCATGTATTTAAGAAAGATAAACAAACAAAGGAAAACCACATTCATCAAGTCAAAAAAACACGTGATACTTCTTATTATCAAGTCTCTTTCGATTCATGACCAAGCGATTTTACCACAGTAAGTTGCTATTTCTTTCTGCGGTAGACTGATTGCCAACCAAGTCTATAGAACCCAGTCAAGTCCTGTTAGAAGACATTGATTAGTACCTTTCCCAAAGAATTTAAATAGTAAGATGAATGTAAGATAATTCACTGAATTTTCATATGTATCTCAATTTCTGATTCCGAAAATATCCATTAACACCAAAATGCACATCCTTTTAAGATAAATAGTTGTTGTTTTAAGACTATTATTCCTTAAAAAATAGATTGTCGTGTTCATGTTTAGAAGAAACGGATATATTGATGGCCTTATAGATTTATATTTTTTTTCTATATGGAAGATAAAATGTGAAAATCCAGCATGAAGACTAACAAAAAACATTTTTCGTAAGAACTGAAATCTTAAAAATCTTCTTAATTTCCCTGTAAAAAGAAAGGAAGAATAAAATTATAAGTATAAAATTTTTATAAAAATGGTTTTTTTTTTTTATTTGTCTCTCAGTCCAAAAAATAGAATGTTCAAAAAAAAAAAAGTTCAAAAAAAAATTAAATTATTTAACAGTTTTCTTTAAGAAATGAATATAAATATAAATCACTTTTTAACAGTGATTCATCAAATCTATTGACAAAATTCTCCTCGTTGAAGTCCGCCATTTTTCATTTTCTTTCTATTTTTTTTTTTTTTTTTGCATAATTTACATTTTCTTAATTTTTTCTACGGCAATAAATTTGACATTTTCAAAATGTTTCTGTTTTTTTTTCTTTCTTTCTTTCTATTTTCCTTTATTCTATTTTTAAATTAAATTTTCCAAGCAAAACTTCTTTTATTTTTTTTTTTTGTCTTTTATTCTTTTTAAATAAAATAAAGTCTTTTTTAAAAAAAGAAAAAATCATCTTTTTTTAATCTTCCTTTATTTCGTTCTTTTTCCATTTTTTTATTTTTCTTCAACACAGGAAAAATTCCGGTTTTTTTGTTTCGGTTTCAAACGAATTGTAACTTTTACGCCCATTTTTTTTAATATTTAAATCTCTCCTTTCCAGAGCTTTTCCATCTTTCCTTTTTTATTTTTCTTTTATTCTAACTTTCTTTTCCAATTTTTCGGATTTTCGTAGAAAATATGAAAAAGAAAGTTTAACTTTTAAATATAAACGTATCTAAAAAAAAATTAAAATCAAATTTGAAAAAACAATGATTGAAAAAAATATAAAAAGAAAAAAAAATTGAGTTACTGAAATAAATAAAAAGACGGAAAAATATATCGAGAATGCTTTGCGGCATTTTATATAAAAAAAAGAGATTTTTTAAATATAAAAATGGATAAAAGAGAGAAAATTTATAAAAAAAATTAATAAAAAGAAAGAAAAAAGAAAATCCAAACATTTATAAAAACGACTTTTTTTTAGAAAGAAATTTAGAAAAAAAATTAATTTTGTGCGAAATTAAAAAACATTGTAGAAAACCCCGAATATTTTTTTTAAATCCTTTTTTAGAAAATTTTGAATTACATATTCGGTTTGCCTAACAAATTTACCCTAGAACACT